ATACTAACACTCGTTGAAATTGAATCATTGAACATTTGAAGAACAAAACGATGAATCCGGTCGCTGTACATCGCGTTACCTTCGAATGCGTTTCGCGTTTCTCTTTGATCCATCGAGAATCAGGCGATGGATTCTCTGGTCGTCGGATTGTGAATTCGCGTGGACGGACTCGGCGGACTCGGCGGTTGCATGCGGTGACGGCGAGTTTGATCACCAGCGCTGATTCGTTCGAGGTAGGGCGGCTTATCGGAAGCTACGGATTCATGAATGTAACTAGGTATTTCTCTCCCTAGCTGGAGCTTCTTTGTTGCTTCTTCGTCTTCGTTTAAAGAAATCTCAAATTTAAATCGAATTTGTGTATATGTGGATTGTGGAAGATATTCGCCTATTAGGTAAGGAAATGTTCCAATTATTTATTGTATACATACGGACATGCATATTTGAGCATTGGGTATAGAGAGATGTTTGTGTGAGTCTGTAGTTGCCACAGGTTTATGCATTGTATTTTTTAGCTTGACAATTACTTGAAGGGTCTAAATCTCATGAACTTGAATTTCGTTAATCTCATTGACTCTTCTGTGTATATGCGTTCATTGGTGTGAAGTTGGTTACATTGACTTACTTTATGATTATTGTGCATCTTGCTTTTGCTATATACTCTGCTATGTTTGTGGGTCTAGTTTTACTCTTTTATCTGGCGCTGTGTTCTGCTTCGTTTTCTAAGCTTTCACTTTTTCTTTCACCTCTTTTATACCCCTAGTTATTCAGGGTTGCAGTCAGGACCTGAATTTGAAGACAAATCCGAGGATATTGGGCGATTAAAAGCTCAAGACATTGGAGAAGGCGGCGTTAAGATCAGGTGCACTTTAGGTGTTATGTAGACAAGGTTTTAAACGGTGATATATTTGGTCAAGTTAAAAATGTATTAGCCACGGCAGTTTGTCTGCAGACTATATGAAGGAAGAATATCCCAAGGTCCATTTCGAGGAACACCTATTGTTTTTAAGGTGATTCGGCTTGCTTTTTTAATCTTGTTTTTTAACCTTTATTTTGGATCTTAACTTGCTTTCCGTTTAAACTTTGCCTCACTCTGTAAAGGTCTATCCCGGACAGCGTGCTGGTGGAATTGAGGCTGACATGATGGCAGCAAACGAGTTGAATGCACATTCTTTTCTACAGGTTTGATAAATAGCCATGCGTAATTGTCAAATGGGTTCTTAGCAATTACATCTCATCGGTGGATCATTGTGCATTCACCTTGTTATTCTGCTTGTCTATGCAGAGCAGTAAAAACCTGCCTGATAATCTGCTTATACTTGTTGGTGGCTTTGAGACACAATTTGGGGAACAGGTCAGGCTTATGATTTGAAGCACTTGAATGTTGAGTCTAAGCTGGAAAAGCATGTGGTTATCTCTGGCATAAATTATGGAACATAGGTTGAATTAATTCATGCATACAGTGGCTGGCTTTTCGTGATGGTGGGAAAAATAGTGCAGCTGACTATGCACGGACTGCGAGTGAAAAAACATCCAGAGCTCGCGCCCAAGGAGTATGGAATCCTTATGAAAAAGAGCAGACGATGAAACGAAGGAGAAACTTTGTCGTTAAGATCCTACAGGGTGCAATGAAAGGTCTAGCCTTTATGCATGATAAAGACAGGTTACACCAAAGCCTCGGGCCATCCTCAATTGTTCTCAAGTAAGTCCCTCTATAAGTATCTAAAACTGATAATAGCACTCATCTCTCTCAATAGAAGTGTAACGTCTCTCTGCTAATTTAGTCGACTAATTTATTTTGGATGAAATTATCTTTAGTACTCCAGCGGAGAGAGAAGCCATCTATTTAATACCTCGGCTGCGAGATCTAGCCTTTTCTGTTGACATAAGGT